CCTCCCCTAAAAAAAAAACCAAAAAAAAAACGTCGCAAAAGCCCGTACGATAGGAAAGTGACTAACGTCTGCTACACCTCAGATTTCATTTTTGTCTTGTAAAATTTATACTACAGGCACTGGACAATTTGGTATCTATATCTTAGAATACAACGTTCTATCTGACATTTTTGGCCGTTTTGAGTTACTATAATAAGCCCACGACCGAGGTCAGATACCAATTGTTCTATCTTCTCAATAAAAATCGTAAGATTATTCAGAGTCGTTATCAAGATTACAAAAGAATGGCATTCGAACAAGCTTCACTTGTTATGAAACTCAAAATATTTCACGTCAAATTTTTCAAAACTAGTTACTGAGCAGATAGAACTTTGTAATTCTGGGGTAACGAACTGAGGTAAAATAGAAACACCAGAAATAATCCCACGAAGCAGGTGCAGACTGCCACACACACCTTTACTGGTCTAAAAGGACACTCGGAAATTTGATTAAAGATGGTGCTCTCGATTGTAAACATATTCGATTCAATCAACAAACATGCAGCGTCAAAGTCAGCTACTCAAGACTCGAAAGATCCATACGACATGTTTGATTAGAATCTAAAATGAACCCGAACACTTTGACAATGTGAAAAGATTTTCGTTTCGTTTTGTGCTATTTTATTTTTTCCCCTTTAAGTCATAGAATGGTAAATTAGTATTGAAACGTTTGTCAGTGACTGGTCATTATTTAACTGAGTTCACAATAATCGAATGATTTTCTACACATTCTGCACCCAGCATAATTTGGAAGTTGGAGATTCGTTTGTTTGAGTTGAGTAAAGAGAAGCACATCGACACAGTAAAGGTCATTTAGTGCAGGGAAAAAGTAAGACGGGCAGACAAAACAACAGAGGGGAAAGTAAAGAAGCAGGAGCTGTCAACCGCGCCCTCCAACCACCCGCAAAGGTTGGAGAGCTAGCAAAGTTTGATCACACAGACGCGACAGAGCGTGGTCATTGTGTGAATCGCTTGACAAGCAAGCCAAACAT